GGGGTTCCCGCGGGGGACCCTGGCCTGGGACCCTGCTGCCATCTCTGAGCAGGGCCTCAGTGCCCAGCCCATGTCCCCTCCGGGAGCCACGCTTCAGTGCGTGGCTCGGCAGCTAACCCTGCCACGTCCACGTTGTTCCCTTCAGTGAATCCTCAATCCACCGTCAGTGTTTTCGAGAAAAGAAAACAGCAGAGCGAGAGGGAGGAGTTTACACCGTAACCCGGGTCAGCGGGGCACCGCTCCTCAGCACCGAGCTCGCTGTTTCCCATGCTCCGGGCCTCTGACTGTCCCAGCACTTCGATTCCAGTCCACGAAGTTAATGCAGAGACACAGCCCTCGCCCTTACAGACTGGGCTCCACCAGTGCAGGCGGCTGGGCAGGCGGGAGGCGCAGAACCTGCGGCCCGGGGCGGGGAAAGCTTTCTCTCTCACTTAGCACAGGAGTGCCCGACTTCTGCACGTGAGGACGGACGGAGCTCCGTCTGTCCCAGGAGTGTCCAAGGTGTCCTTGCTGTGTCCTGGAGCGGGGGGAGCTGCGTGGACGCCTTCGTCCTTTGTCCTCATGGCCGGCCCACGAGGCCGGTAAACATCAGACCCTCAGAGAAACTGAGGCACAGGGAAACTGAATAATTCACCCAAGGGCATTCATTTGGCCAGAGGCAGAACCCGGGGCTGAGGCCCCTGGTGGTGCCGGAGGCTTTGGGCCAGGAATGATGTCCCATACTGGACAGAGCAGATTCCTCGAAAGCCAGCCTGCTCCATCCCCGTGCCCACCGGCCTCAAGACCCAGGCCGAGCGTGCAGTGCCCCTGCTGTGTGCACGCCTGATGCTCTGTTTCCCCCACACCCCGAGCAGGCTGCCTGCGCACTCTGACCTTGGTAGCAGCTCTGCTGTCCCTCACCGCGCCCTTGAGGCCCTGGCCCATGTCTGTGCCCCGTGAGCCCAGCTCCCGCCAGCCTCACAGAGGACATCACGAGGGGCCTCCTGCACGTGGCGGGGAACCCAGCCCTAGGGCACTCGGTGCCTAAAGACGCGCTGAGCAGCTCTGGATTCCTCAGGACCCGTCCTCACCCGCGCATGGCTGTCGGCTCCGTGACCTGTCATGGCAGCGTCCTTCTCTCTCCGTGAAGGATGGCTGAGCTGGGTCACAGCCTCGCACCGCCAACAGAGAGGACGATGAAGCTGCTCGCTCCGAGATGGGGTCCTCGCTCTGGGTCCATGCGTGGCTGAAGAGTGGGGGGTCAGAGAGGCCGGCACATTCCCGTCCCTCACAAAGGCAGTGGCCCTTGGTGAATCCCACCCCTTCCTGCCATCAGCCCAGGCCTGGGCTCCAGCAGACAAGCTCAGGGGACAATTCCTGTCCAGTGATGCGTGACGGGAGCCCCTGACCCAGCTGTCTGCTGATCCACACCCTGCTCCTCTCCCAGCACCTGGGAGAAGGCTGCTCAGGGTCTGGACGGGATCAGGGCCACCTGGGGGTGGAGCACTGGTCCTGGACAACCCAGAGCCCGAGCAGAAGGGCGGCCCTGAGTCAGCAAAGCCCTCGGCCCTGGACCGTGGCTCCTCGGAGAGACGCAGAGCTAAGGAAGAGTGGAGCAACTGAGATCCCCAGATGCACGGGAAGGAGTCAAACCGCCCGGGGCTGACGGCAGTGTCCTTCCTGTCGGGATGGCCATCAGCACAGCCACCTTGTGGATGCGCGGTGTGGTGCCCTTTGGCCTCTGGATTGTGAGGTGGGGGAAGGGCCCCGTGCTCCAGCTCACAGCGTGGCACTGTGGGTGTGGAGATTTGCTGCTGATTCCTGTGCCACAGATACCAGGACGACCACCCAGAGCACAGGGGACTTCGCAAAAGCAAACACTAAACCTCTGCTGCTTTGAACCCGAGGTGCGGGCTGTTTGGCACTGCAACGGAACCCAGCCTACCTGGCTTGTCGGCACCAGCCTCACGGGCATCCACGCTGGCACCTCGATGGCACGGCTGTGAACGTCGCCCTGGGAGATGGGTAAAGCTGACCTACGCCACCTGGGCACAGACAGCCGGGCAGGGACACACTGGTGGTCATGCCTGTCCTGCTGCTGCGTTCCTCCTGCGGGGCCAGGCCCTGCTTCCCGTTTGACGGGGAAGTTTCAGGACGTGGGGTGCAGGGGTGGGGCCGCCTCCCTCTAGGCCAAGAGCCCCAGACTTGCCGGCATCACGAGTGAGGAGGCTTCTTCAGACACCACCTCAAATTCAGGGAAACCTCGTGAGCCCCTGGCCACAGCGCCCTTCCCACACTCAAATTGTAGGGCCTTGGCATGAGCCAAAGCAGCGAGTTGGGTTTTACTGGGAATTCTAGCACTATAAATTCATTTTAAGACTGCAGAGGCAGCCAGAATTTTATTGTAAGGGTTGCAAAGTGAGCCCAGAGTCTCGGGAAACTGCTCCAGCTGGGGGTGACCCTGCCGCTGCGAACAGGACCAACAACCCTGCAGGTGAAGGGACCCTCAGGAGTTGCTGTTCTAACTGAGGCTCCGCCACCCTCCAGTTCATCCGCCAGCTGCATTGCACAATGAGCCCTGGGAAATGTGCACTCGAGCTCTGCGTGGATGGAAACCGGCTCCCGGCAACAAATGCCTTCTGTCGTGTTAAGCACGGGGTAATGCCCTGTGACGGGACCATATTCCCCGCTGCAGATCAATTTCGTAGCATTTGTCCGTAATGAGACTTGAAATGTTACCTAGAAGCAAAATATGTTTTCCTTGCGGCAGTCAGACCTTATTAGAGAGCCAAGGTTTTACAAATCACCATGTTAACAGTTCTATCCCCTGGCTAAGTCTTTCTTTCCTTAAATAGTGTTAAATTTGGCCCCCAAAGCTCAAGTCTCTTTGAGGGTTACCGTCCTTATGTGCACTGACTTGGAAGAAAAAACTCAATGCTCCAAACATATCTAGGGTCCTACTACGTACAGCTTAATAAACCAACCAGTGCTCCCTTCTGCAGGGAAAAGTGTTAGTGTTTTATTAAAGTGTTATGCTTGTCCTTAGGCTGCGTGATATTATCATCTTGCTTTCTTAAAGATGGGATTTCATTGCTTTTTTAAAAAGACCAGCCTATTTGTCAGTAAGAATTTATCCTCATTTCCTGACCACCTAATCATACACTGTGGGTGAGCAAAGAAATGGAGAAAACATCAGAAGCAGAGATTCACAGCAGGACAACTTCCTGAGCGGTCAGGGGTTTCTGGAGGCAGGGACACCCAGCTTTGCGTTCTGGCCCTGCCTTTTGATCACTGTAGAATTTTGGGCTCAACTTTCCATCCGGCCATGTTAGCTAGTTTTATATTTTTATGGAATGATTTTTCTTGGTGGTTAATCCCGTTGGGTAGATCTCCCAGCCTTTCCTATGTCCAGCAGACAATGGCCAAGCATCTACCTCGGGCTCAGCCTTCCCATGCCAGGTCTTGGGAAGCAGTAGGGGCCAAGATGGACCGGGGGGCTCCATCCCAGGCCTGCCAGCCCATGAGAGGAGCAGGGTACAGACAAGTACCTCATGCTCAATGAAGCAGGGGCTCGATGGGAAGGGGCCTCCAAAGACAGATGACCTCCTAAGCCCTGGAATCCATGAGTGACTACCAGAAAGAGGGCCTTGCAGATAGAGTCAGAATTGCAGAGCTCCTCCTGATCCTGCAGACGGCCCTCGCACCGGTGAGACGGTCCTGGTAAGACTTGGGGAGGCGACTCCAGGAAGAGGTACTGATGGAGAAGTGCTACACAGGACCTTGCCTTGCCTCAATTTCTTTTTTCTTCTTTGCACAGAATGTCATTTTGGAAATGTAGTTTGTGCTTCTGGGCTCTATCCAGTGTATCAAGATGGTTTGTGACTGTTTGAACTGTGACCTTTCAGGAATGTTCTGTTAAGCTCTGCCCCTTCACAAGGTTAAGCTTGGCCCACTCTCAAGAATGTTCTGTAAATCCGCCCCTCTGCTTCGAGAATGTTCTGTAACTCCACCCCTTTGCTTTAGGAATGTTTTGTAACCATGCCCCCTGCTTCATTGAGTGTGTGCCCCAAACCTGTAGTATAAAGAGCTCTCATTTCTGGTAGGGGATCAGACTCCTCTGAGCCCACTGGGGCTCTCTGGTGTAATAAAGGTTTCTCCCCACCTCCAGGGACCATCAGCTTCCCAAGTCTTCAAAAAATGAAAGCTGCCACCCAGGGCTGCCATACTGAGCTATAAAGCGGTAGTGCCCCAGAGCAGTGTTCGAGTCACCACACTGAGCTGTAACACTTGGCTGTGTCACAGAGCTGCTGCACTCTGTCACAACATTTCAGCCCCCGAGGGGACAGAAGCAGAGACAGAAGTGACCGCCCCATGAGCTAAATACTCGAGGGAGCAGGCTGGAGGGAACATGGGACGGTTCCTCCCAGGCCTTGGATGGGGTGCAGCCCCTCTTGTCTCTGGCAGTGTGATTGTTCCTCTCATTGTCGGTCATTCTGTGGGATCTGGGCAGAGCACAGGAGACAAGCAGCAGTGGTCATGCCAGGAAGAAAGCAGAACAGGCGCCCAAGAAAAGGACCAGATGAGGGCAACTGAGGTGAGTTCTGGAAGGACCCGGAGGAAGAGCCAGCTGGGTTCCCTGAGGATATGGACGCAGTGGGAGACCTCATCCGCCAATGCCCTTGATGTGTCTGAGGACCAGAAAGTCAGCAGGCTGGACTGTGGGGGAAAGAAAGAAGGAGAGGGTGGCACTGCTGAGGAAGAGGGACCCAATCCTGAGGGGCAGGAGTGGTGCGGGACAGAGTCTGGATTCTCCAGGGCAGAACATCTCAGAGAGGCCTCGCCATGAAAAGACCCACTCGTGCCAGTGCAGAAGGACGCCAAGTATACATGTGCTGGACTAGTAAACATGAGTCTATCCTGGACATCAGAAACGCTGGGTTTAAAATACCCGAGAGCCTTCCTAACACCGTGCTGGTCACAAATGATGCCGCGAGGTTACACAGCACAGGACTCTGGAGACATCCTCAGGCAGGTCCTTTATTCCAAGCCCTTCCTCCTCCCCTTCTGCCAGTCCTGTGAATGGCTCAAGCTTCACCGCGTCCTAATTCAATGCTGAAGGCCACCTGGGGTGGATCCAAGAGTCACAGACTAGCAAACTCCACACGGCCTCCCTGGAACCCCATGGTCTCACTGTGAGCCAGGGCCACTGAGGAAATGGATTGTTTCTAGCTACTACTTCAAAGATCACATGTGCCTGGTTCACACATCAAGGAAATGTTCTCAAGTACAGGGAAAGTGTTTACCATTTTCCCACAGTTCTTCAGGGCGTGCAATTCAATTTTTTTTTCACCACCTGCAAAATTCCTTTTTTCTTCACATTATCTTTCTTGACTGCTACTTATTGTACAAATGAAAAACAAAGATGTGGGTTGATCGTGTACATCAGCCAAGTTCGTACGGAAAAACATGCTGGAGTTTCTTCTGTGACTCACAGTAACCACTCAAAGGACCAAGTCATAGGGGAGAATATGGAACATTAGACTTGCTCGAAGACAGCCTGCTGAAGACACAGCACTTTCCTGTCTCACAATTTTCCCTTGCCCGATGTTTAACAAAGGCAAATAGAAAAAATCTGACAGTTATCAAACATAGCACACTCTTATCTGCTGGGGCCCCAACCCACCGGACTTCTGAATAACTGGGCTTTTCTGAGTTTTATTCCCCTTTCATTTAAACTTAGTAGGGAAGAAAACCTTAAAAAGTCATGTTGTAGCCAGGGACTCTATAAAGAATGGCAATTTGCAAGGATTACAATGTACCTTGAGTCCTGTTGGCTGTTTTCCAGTAAATGCTGAGTAAAAAGTGTCCTCTATCCCAACCTGAGGCATAACCTCACTCTTTCGGGGACACACTGCTGTAAAAGAGACCTCGGCGACAACCACCCTGGAGAGACCTGGAGAGAAAAGACTGGCGGTGGCTCCTACAGCTCATCATGACTCTTGGTGAGGTCCTCGCCGTAGTTGGTGGCCTGGCTCCCCACAAACATGTTCCAGTTGTCCAAGATTTCCTCCTTGGTGAGCTTCCCATCCTGTGGAAGAGGGAGGAGGCCATCAGGGACACCCGAACCCCTAGGGTCCTCCTCTGCCCTCCACTCTGCACCTTGGGGCTCCACAGTGGACCAGCTTCCGGCCAGCCCAGTAACTGGAAACTGAAACCCCCAACATCTGCCTAGGGGTCCCCCACCATGGCCACTGGGGGACCTGCTTGCCCCTACAGGGGAATCGGGCCGTTACCCAAGTAGTCGGGGACTTCGGTAAGCTTACTTACTGGGGGATTTCTGTAGGCACTGGGGGACGTCTGGAAGCTCTGGGTGGGCACTCAAGCTTCCCACATCCACGCCCTGCCCCAGGCCCCCATGCTCCCCCAGCAGGGGGGCTGAGTGCATCTGTGGCTGTGGTTGGTGTGGCTTGGGCTGTGGCTGTGGTCTCTCCCATTTGGCAGAGACCCCGCCCCGGCCCCGGCTGCTGCCCAGGAAGCAACCACCCCACCCAGCTGCCCCGCCTGGAGCATGCCCTACCTTGTTCCTGTCTGACTCGTACACCAGGTGGCGGGCCTCGGCCTGTGCGTGGTCGTAGTCCTGGGGGAGGATCCAGTGCCGAATCTCATCCTGGTCCAGCTTCCCGTCCTTGTTCAGGTCCCGGAAGTCACTGAACTGCTCACGCTCCGACAAGACCCAGTCCGGCTCGGGGCCACCATCCTCGTGGGAAAACATGTCCGCTACAAGGGAAGGGCATCCTGGTGATGGGGGTGGCAAGGAAGTGACAGCCCAGAGAGGCGGACCCTGAGTTTCTGCAAAGGGGATGACCTGGCTGTAGCAGCCGGGAGCAGGCTCTGAGGCTGATAACACAACTACCCATCCGCCAGGAAGGCCACGGGTGGACCATCGCGGCTGGCGATGAGGAGACATTGCGGAGTACTACGCTGCCATAAAGAAGGACAGCCTGGAGCCAGGTGTAGGAAAATGGATGCCCTGAGACCACACTGCTCAGTGGAATAAATCAGACACGCAGGCTTCGATGTCTCACTTTTCTCTCATATGAGAAACCAAAGTACAGATAACTTAAAAAGCAAAATAAAGGTGATAATAGACACAGGGAGCTAGATCTTTTGTACAAGGGAAGGGGACCAAGAGATGGAGGGAGGAGGAGGTAGGGAAGGGGAGGGGAAGGGAAGAATGGAGATGTGTGACATACACGAGCTGACTCCCTAGGATGAGTGTGACCCGTATGTGCTGCGAACATGGGCGGAAAAAGAAAGCAAAGGAAAAAGAAGTGATGCTCGCTCCTGGTGGTCTGGAGTCCGGGAGTTCTGCCGTGCAATGATGGAGCCATAAGCTGCCCATGAGGTGAGGTCTCGGGCACTCACCCTGCAGGTGAAATGGGCTGTTCCGAGGCAGCGCCTGCTGCCCCACCTGGCACCCAAGGGTGAAAACTGATGACGGTCGCATGAGTGCTCTCCACGTGCAGGCAAGACTGGGTCCTCCACATTCCTCCCTCCGTGATTTCCGCGAGGCCTTTGAGACAGGCACTGCCCTTCTCCCATTACACAGAGTGGGTGTCGAGGCAGGGCCCCCAGCCCGCGGGCCAGCCCTGGGGCTTCTGGGGACTCGGCACTGTGCTTCCAACCACGGCCTTAGCCACCATGGGCACTATACCGTCAGTCCCTGTGTGGGTCGTGTCCTGGGTGCGCAGGCTCCTTCAGACTGCCAGCCACGGGGAGGGCGTGCTCCCCCTTGCACGGGTGGGAAGGGCGCCCTGCACGTTCATGACTGCACTCTACCCAATCCCGCACTGGACGTTATTTATTCCCATTTTGCACGTGAGAGGACTGAGGCTCAGAGAGACACCACGACTCTCCAGGGCCACACAGCAGCAGCCAGCACAGAAGCCAGGCTCCTCCCCTCTCGCTCCAGCTCTCAGCTACCCGGTGGAGGACAAGGACCCACCCACAGGACTGGCCATGACCTGCACAGGCCGGGTATGCCTGGCTCAGGTCACTCGGATTGGATTTATGAGCCCTCCCTTCCCTGTGCAGTATGAGAACAAAGTCTCTCAGGCAAAGACCCCAAAAGTCGTGGGGTCTGAGGACAGATGGGCATGCAGTCGCCTTCCTGTCCGTCTGTCACCCTGGCCTGTGCACGGCAATGCTGTCTGCACCCGCGAGAGGAAGGTGGGTCGGGCAGGACAGGTGGCCGCCGGCACCATCACCCTATGAGCCAGGGCACCTCAGCCCCTCCAGCTGCTGCTGAGAGGCGGGGCCAGGGCTCCGTCCCCAGAACGGAGCTTAACTCCGAGAGACCAGCAGAAGCTCCCCCGGTCAGCAAGGTGGGGGTGCCTCGCTGTAAACCCACAGTGCTGCTGCCCGTCCAAGGGCAAATGGCCTCGGAGAGCCGGGGCGGGACAACCGGGGGCGGCAGGGCCAATGTGACACAGTGGGCTGGAAGCCCCCCTCTCTGAGAGCCCTGAGCAGTGACAGCACCGGTCCTGGGTGCAGGGACGTCGCCTGGGAGGACAGCTGAGTGGCCGGCACTCACCGATGTATTCATCCTGGTCCACAAAGCCGTCCCCGTTCTTGTCAATGTCCTCCAGCGTTTCCTGGAAGCAAAGGGAAAAAAGGAAGCAAGATGGCCCCCTGTGTGAGGGAGACCTGGGACTCTGGCTGGCCCTAGGTCCAGGATCCTGTGAGGGGTGCCCAGTGACTTCCTGTGCATTCCCTAGTTCACCTCTAAAAAGCAGGCAAGAGGCCCCCAGCCCGGTGCCTATTAACCCAGAGGGCTTGGGATTCCATTAGGAAGCTGCCAGGCCAAGGCATCCCCATCTTCCCGCCAGACACCCCAGGGAACCCTAGGGGGACCCTCAAGGAACCTGGTGTGAGAACCACCAGAGCAGGTGATCACAGAGTCTGGGGCCGACGGGGCCAGGAGCGCTCAGCTTGTATCAGAGAAATGTGAAATGCTGATCATTAAAAACCAGAAGTGTGACTGCCTCTCGAATATATTCTACTCTGGAGTCACTGTTTGGCTTCTCAATCTCTTTTATGCCTGGGCCGGAGTGCACAGCAACCTGGGTGCAAAACACAGGCAACCCAGCAGACCCCACTCGGAGACACACAGTCCCTGTTGAACAGACGCCGCATGGCGGAGGACAGACTCCGGAGCCGTCGCCCAGCCCTCGGTCAGAGGCAGGAGGCAGGAGGCAGCCTCTCCCACCCGGCCAGCTGAACAGCCCTGCCGCTCCAGAGTGGCTGCCCGGCGTGGAAGCAGCCGCACCGGGCTCAGGCCACCTGCCCAAGAAATGAGCCAGGCCTTTATCAGACTGTGGCAGAGTGAGGACGCTGGACCCAACAGGACAGTTGCCCCTCCTGCTCTCCCAGGACCACCCTGCAGTAGCATCCTTGTCAGCCAGGAGCTGTACTTAAACTCCCATAGTTTTACCAACTGGACGTATCTCACTTCAAACCCCTTTCAAACCCCACAGCTAAGAGGCAGGCCGGGCAGGCCGGGCTCCTGTCCACGGTGCCCATTTGCTCTTCTACAAGTGTGTGGACTGCAGCCTCAGCCTCTGCGCAGGAAGGGCCTTGCCACGCCTTCTCTTTCCCCAATTGGCCACCTGATTGATCCACGGGGGACCCGAAGCCACGCATGGCAGAGCCCAAGAAGGACGCAGCCTGATATCTGGAGTTCAGAGGCAGTTGGCGGGGGCCGGCCACGCTGGACTGCACAGGAACCAGCCGACGGTGGGGCTGCCATCACACAGCACGCTGCTCTGGCTTCCTGCCCGGTGACCTCCGTCCTCTCCGACTCCCTCCAGGAAGAAGGCCAGGCAGGCGTGGGGACAGCTTTCTCCCTGGTCCCCTCCCGGCCCGGCTCTCCATGGGCCTCACCAAAACCACGATTTCCTTCATGTGCTCGAACTCCTCAGGGTGCAGGAAGGCAGTGAACTCCTCACGGGTGGCGGTCAGGTCCCCGTCCAGGTCTGCGGCCTTGAACCTTCTCTCGTCCCGGGGCAGCATCTTTTTGAAGGTAAGATGATCGGTGCTGTCCTGGAATTCTGCGGGGTTCCCTGCGGGCAGATGTGCACGGGAGGCTTCTCCCGCGGCTGGCCCCCTTCACCCCAGGGCAGTAGGCCCTTACCCACCAGGCCTTCAGGACAGTGTCTTCCAGCGGGCCCGCGTCTCCTTCCCTGTCACCCACCACCAAGGCTCTAATGGCTCCCGGGGGACTTGGACGGCAAGTGGTTAAGGCAAGGGCTTTGGGCTGTGCAGATGCCATGGTGTGGGGGCGCATGTGCGGATGTGTGTGCACGCGCGCGCGTGTGTGTGTGTGCATGCGTGTGCAGGCCTCCGCATCCATACACAGGCCTCCTGGTTCCCCACAGGGCACATCTCAGTCAAGATCCGACCTGTGTGCCTCCATCCCCCAGAACCGTGCACCCCTCTCCTGGGCACCAGCCCCCACCCTGTCCTCCCCCAGCCCAGCCTGGCGGCCCACGTCCAGCCCTGCCCCTCACAGTGCACTGCTGCCCCAGCCCCTGTAACAGTCCTCACCAGGAGGCCCTGACTCTCCAGGACCCTCCATGCCTGCCAGACAACTGCTGCAGCGCTGACTCAGGGCCACAGGTAGACCTCGGTCAGAACTCTTCCCTGGGTGCCCCTCCAGATGTCCTTCAGGTGGGGCCAGGACCCAAGGGGCCTGCGATTCCCTGGCTCCTCCCCCAGGGGCTTCGCTCCCAGGCAGCAACTCCCTAGTTTCCTTAGTCAGCGGGGGCACTAGGCACACACATCAAAGGGTGACGGTGTCTCCCCGAGGGAGCAGGAGTAACAGCCCTGCAGCGCCCTACCCAGGTAGTAGCCGTAGGTGGCCTGTCTGTACTCCTCCCAGGAGACCCTGTCGTCTTTGTCTCTGTCGTAGCCCTTCCAGACCTTAGCGACATTATCATAGATGTATCTTTTCTGCACCCGTTTGATCCAGACTTTCAGTTCCTCGGTGGTGATGAAGCCATCCCCATCACTGTCGATTCGGTCCACGATCTTCCTGTGGAGAGGAGAAACCCCCAGGCTATTATGAAGGCTGTGGACCTTGGTCCAGCACAAGGTGGAACTGTTACACCATCCCAAACGCAGGAGCCTCAGTAGAACCGGTGCTGTGAGTGCTGGCGAGGACCCAGGGTTTACCCTGTCTGGGCAACACGTTTCACCTCACACCCAACAGGCATCAGTGGCAGACATTGCTAACGGGTCACGCCGTGTCCAGATACACTGAGAGGTGACCTCTGGCCTCCTCTACATGACACTCAGGGCCCTCAGAGCGGGCGGTAGTGGGGAGAGGCCTCCTGTCCTGGCCTCCCTGAAGCTCTGAGGCCCCAGCACAGGGCCAGACCTGGCACCCGGCACCCAGGGCATCCCCATGAGCGAGTGATGTCAGGGCCCCAGCCCGGATCAGCCCGCCCTGCCTGTGGTGACTGTCACTGTCATCATGGTGCTGCACTTGAGGAAGCCCAGAGCCCTGCTGCTGGGACAATGGAAGGCCCTGGTGGGAGGCACAGCGGTCTCCTGGGACCACGGCACCTTGCAGGCTTTCAATGGCCCCGCTGTGGAGTCTGGGGAGAGGAGGGAGCTCTTCTCTGCCCCACAGAAAGTGCCTCGGCGCAGGGGTCCCTTCATCACAGCAGCAGGGGCTGCACCCCACAGTGCTGTCATTTGTGCTCCTGTTCCACTGAGCACGACGGCCTCTGCTGGCCCACAAACTGGAGGGCTGTGCTGTTTTTCACTGCAGCAGGAAGTGAAGGACAGGAAGGTCCTCAACCCTGGGAGCGGGCTCTGGAAGCCTGGGACCCGGGAGTAGGGCTCTGTCCCTTCCTCCGCTGCCATGCCTGGCGGGTGCTGGTCCAGCTGTGGAAAGGGCCTGGGTGGCTCTGCGGTGTCTCCTCAGGGGTCAGCAGGGGGTCGTGGGGATTTCCCAAAATGCTGCTTCCTGGGTTTGGATCCTGACCCCACAGCTGAGTTCTTCATGCACTGCCACCTCTGTGCCAGAGAGCCAGGTACCTGTGGCATCTGAAGGGGAGCCTTTGGGTGCACCGCGCCCCCAGGTCCCCACCCCTCATGCAGATCGGGAACCGCCCCTCCCTGGCCTGCCTTTTTCTCTCCCCCAAGTTTGTTCCTGTCCCTGAGACCTCGGAGAAGTGTCCCGAGCCCCCTCTCTGAGTCCTGTTGACGCGGGAGAAGTCGCCAGGCCGTCAGGGAAGCTGTCACCCAAACCAGGTGGGCCCACGCCCCGCCCCATGCAGCGGT